TACATAGAGTTATTATAAAATAGAACAAATAATACGTGCACTTATTGTTTCTATTACAAAACAAACTCATCGTTTATAGTATCGTTACCGAACCCATATATAAAACATCAAACATAGCAGTTATTTATTAGGCAATGTGGTTGTTATTGGATCAAAGCACGAGGTGTTAGGCAAAGGTAAGTATTATGCGAACATCGCCGACTGATATTTAACACACGACTTAACCTATTATTCACTAACGGTTGAGATGTAATTGTCTGACATTTTTCACGTAATGACCCGTACACATCGGATTCATCTCGACATCGTAAACTACAAGGTCTTTGCGTTTGTAAATCATAAAGGCCGGTGGTTGAGTTGAGAATTTTTACAACAAATTTTCTCACCATGTCGCAATTTAACGCAATGAAACGTTTTGTTACCATTTTAAAGTAGTTTGAGTTTGAGCAAATTAAAGAATGCCCATTGCTTGAAAACGACGAGGGTTTAATCAAAAAACTAGGAAGTAGATACCGTAATTATCAACACCTATGTGACTTAGATCTGAAGCTATAGTACTTATGATAAACTGTCACATAAAAAAATAATTATTGAGGAAATGTCAAAGCCCCTTTTTTTGAAGATACACATCCCAAAAATTTAGTATGTGACTGTTGCTGCAGGCAGAAAATCTTCAGAACACAGGTGTAACTTGTTGTCTGCAAATAAGGCATCAGAAGACCATTTGCCTGCACCAAATGCATGACATTTGATGTCTTAGTAGTGGTAGTCCCTACAATTACTAAACAAGTATAGTCAAACCGCCGGAAGCTTGGCCCTCGAGATGGTTTAGTATGTCGCTGTCCGCCGACAGTGACTGTCGTGAAAGCCTGGCTGCACGTGTTATTTTTCTTAAGACCGTGCTACACACGTTATTATTATACAATAATGATAATCTGCCGATTCTGTATCACAAAAAGATTTAAGAAGATTCGGTTTTTCTTTTAATAAACGTTTCCTTTTGTTTCATATCTTTAATTACTTGATTAAGTAATATACAGTAGCAGTTGTCGATTGTCCGTATGGTGACGGATGAAGAATACGGAGTATCACTACCCCTATTTATCTCGTGGATGTCTTAAGAGCCGATTAAGGGAGCAAACTACGCAGGACAACAGCATTGCAAACAGAAGGAAATCTTGAAACAAACTCTATACCAAGCCATCTGGCAAGCGTGACATAATCGAACAAAACCTCCTTTCTTAGGAGAGGCCTATGTCTAGCAGTGAACTACTAAAGGCTGTTAATGATGATGATAAGTTCTCGATTGCAAAAATATCAGAAGTAGTTTGGTTCTACTGCAATAAACATAAATTTCACAATTTTATTAGTATACTGTTGTTAACAGTATACTAATAAAATTGATAATACCTAAAAGTTTGACGTGCTCTTAAAGGTGTAAAAAATTGTTATGACAAAAAAGATGTTGCCAATTTGGCCTACCAATGAGTACTCTGTCAACAATATTTAAAAACGAATCCAACACAATGAACAAAATTGAAAATGGTCAAAGAAAGAATCTAAACCCTTACAAGTCGAATGATTCCTTATAAAATCTGCCTAAGTCGAATAATTGCCTTAGAAAAATAATAATTCGAGTTATAGACTTACGGAGGTACCGTAGGTCTAAAACTCTATAACTCGAATTATTTGGCGTCTCCCTGAAGTTCGTCTTACAGAGGTTGTACTGTTAAAGTTCTAATAAAGAATATTTATTATTTTATTTCATTATTAAATTGTATCTGAATATAATATACATGATGAAGATAAGGCGATATTAAAATTATTATACAAGTATCAAAATTTTACAATTAATCATGAAAACTAGCAATAAACAGAAATTGTAATCGATAGAAATAAATTATGTTTTTATTACATCGTGTGTAGATTAAATCTCGAACAAGTAAATGTGAAGATATCAAGTTAGTACATCGTGTCGTGTCGTGATGATGATGATGATGTCCCAGACGTATCCATCGACGGCGACACCCGGTCACCTTTCAACAGCTCCGTTTACGCTCGTGCGCCCGTACGTGACTCGCAAAACCGAATTTGGTTTTGAATACACGGTCACATGAGGCAGTGAAGCTCACCCCTCGTATGTAGTTATAGGAGGTGCTTAGGACGAGTTTTCCGAAGCTGGCATTTGGATTCAAGGTCTTGAAGGCGGCTTCGTTCACAATTTTGAATGCCCTGATGGACAGCTTTCCGCCACTCCGTTCTGTTTCTAGCCAGTTCCTCCCTCAACTTTGGGGGCAAGGTGATGGCTATTAAATGACGCTTCAACACATCTGTATCCTGTATCGCTTATATTGTCCTCTAGACCGGCGTTTACCTGAGCTGTCGTGTATAGCCGAGTGCATCACCCGCCCCACGTGTCGCAAACCATCGGGAGGGCCGAGCTTATGGCGGTTTGACTATGGTAACCTGACATAGAGGCTTTCTAAACTGGGGTAATTGATTTGATGTTTTATCTGACTACTTTTAATCTCTCTACTTTAAATTATAATATATGTTTTTTATCTAACATTCAATAGAGATTTTAGTGTCGTTAAGTGACATATCTACTACAGTATCTCGAAATACCAACGATACACATGGATTGAAATATTAAATTTGCTATGCATCTGTAATACGATACCATGATAGCACTAAATATATTGCAAATAAATTATTTAGTGCCGCTCTTCGGGTTGGTTTCGTAATCACCTTGGCTTTATTATAAGAAGTGTTACTTCAATATGTTTCTTATTATCTAGGTGTGGAAATCCTTTGTGGAAGAAACTTTTTAAAGTTGCCGACTGAACATAAAGAATCAATGACTATTTTCTCATTTTATCAATAAGTAATGGTTGCCAAATAATTAATGAGAAAACAGCAAAATGAACTAGTAGTAAGTTATGTTCTTAGTTTTAAGCATCTAAACGCAGATACATATAAATATTACATTTTAATATAATGTTCAATATTTTTAAACGTGATCTTTACATTTTAAACTAGTTTTTTGAACACGTTTCCTCTATAGTCAATTCAATCTAGTAGCAAATGAATTCGTAACGAATCAGTTGATATTTATTTTTTCATTTACTTAGAAAAACATTGACCATAGTGTGTGTGCGCAATTAGCTGATCAACCTAAAAACAAACACAAAGATGAAAGTATGTACATCGCATTAAACAGTGGTTATGGATTATGGTATCATTTAAATTAAACAACTACTCGTATTTTGTAACGTTTCTAAACAAACTTGGGTGGTATCATCTAGTCACACAAACAAAAGGTCATATGGTTAGTTATATATATTATCGTCAACTGAATATCATCAATATGAAATTCATCAGACTCAAAATTACTATACGAATACATGACGAGTAACCACTCTTACAGCTACTCTTACTCACATGCAATACTTTCTTCTTAAATGGCTCAGATTTTCTTTAAATGCTAAGATATCATTTCTTTTTTAACTTTAATGATGATATAAACAACATACTTCGTATGTAACTAACTTTGAATATAAATATAGTAGGTACGGTAAACACATTTTCATTAAAAAATCTAGTCAAATTTTGTTAAAATTATTTTATTTACACAAGGATAAATGTTAGAAAAAAAACGCCAGTCTATACGATAAACGTAAAAAGATTCGATAAAATATCTTTATAGTACCTAAATATTAATACTATCACGAATATTTATTTCAAGATATAATCTAGTAGACCCATCTTGTTTATTGAACGAAGTCGTGTATCTAATGACTTGCCTGTGATAAACTAACGTGCTTAAAAATTTCCAGGACAAAATATATTATTTAATCTTATAGTTATCTAAAACATTAACCTATTTTGTCGAGCACATATAACCATTCAATCAATCTTTTGAGGCCTTGTTCTATTGCATTAAAAAGACCAAAAGGAGTAAAAGGCGACAAGACCATGCGCAAGAGATGTGAATGAAAAAATAATAAATATTCTGTTTGTTAAGATTTCAGAATTGATCGAAATCGGTAAAGTAGTCAGATCGGTGAAGTAGTCAGTTCAGAAAATCGAGGACAAACAAAGTTAGGTATACAGATTCCATATGTACAACTTCTAACTTTAATGGAAAATTTATGAAAGAAAATTAGTGTTAAAAAGGGGGTCATTAGAAAATAATTGCATTAATCTTAAAATATGATTTTTTTAAATATTTATATAAACGCACTGAAAGATTAAATAACGAAATAAAACCAGGCAAGTGAATAATTTAATTTTTCTCACTTGCCTGTGTTTTTTTTTCGTTATATATTAAAGTATAAAATTACAATACATAATTACCAATAGATACGAGTATTGTAAGTAAATGCGAAAAGGTTTTTGCAAGTTCGTATTAGAACAGAATACTGGAATGTTGTTACCATTTTTCTGGGTTTATGGCCAATTGAAAAACGAAAACGAATATTTCATTCATATACAATTTTATCTGCATTATATAGTATTATGTTCTTAAACTTAAATTCAATTTGTTTTATCGAATATACTATTTACGACAGAAGCGATAAAATTTTCGAAATACAAATGTTAGAGTACAAATGTTAAAGGCGATAACTTGAGCAAAACTCCCTACTAGAGCCTGTATAATGTATTTTTTATTACAGTTAATGTTATCCTTTTATTTACAATTAACTAAAGGAGCTGAATACGAGGTACATAATTTAACAGTCAACGAAGTCTCTAATAAAATCGTAGATTTTTTTGGTGCTAACCAGGAACATGCCAGAATTAAGGAACTAAAAGAAAAGATGGACAAAATAAACACTTATGTAACTAACAATGATTTGTTTGGTGAATTATTAGCAAATATAACAAAAGAATCGATACTGAATGAAACAAATTTCTACCAATCCCTGATGGAAAACGACCACTTTCGATTTTTAACTACTAATGATTCAGACAACCTTTATTTAAAGTTGAAAGCGAAGATGACCCGTGATGACATTTTAAAAATATTAGCTTTAAAAAGTGAAGATGGTAAAATGATGAAATCTGCTAGAAGAATGATGAGAAACTCGATTCCTAAACGCGACGATGATGGCAGAATACACGATGTAGTCGATAAATTAATAGCCGAGGTGCCTAGAGATGATCATAAGCTTACAGCAAATGAAAGTATTTACTGGGGTACGATTTACTACATGGTACTTCTTGGTATCCACTGGTACTTTTACAAGGATTAGCTAAACGTGGGTAGTTCTATCCTTTTCCAGATCCTCAGGGTGCGTTAGAAGATTTAAAAGAGTATTATGACGCTAAGCGCGATGGGCGACGTCTTTTCAAAGGAGAACGCACAAGCGTCAGAGACTGGCCATTTATGGTTTCTATTCATATTATGGGCAAATTTTGGTGTGGAGGTGCATTGTATTGGAATGATCTGGTTATTACATCGGCATCTTGTTTGCAACTGTAAGTTTCTAAACATTAATCATGATTATTGATAACTTAGGCCAGAATGCCGAAATATTTAAATCGCTTTGCACTTTAAAAATATAGTAAAAGCATATATTACTTGGTAGTTTTCTTTTCTCCGTAGATTATACAACAACCGATTTTATCGTGAAAATCCTCGTGTAGTACAAGTCAGAATAGGCAGCAACCACAGTCGAGTCGGTGGTGAACTCATCGATGTTCTAGAGGTAAGAACTAATATTATAATGAAAACTATTGATGTAGGTACACCTAAGGTGGGTTACACATACCCGATACTGGACCAGCACCACCTCAACTCTGTATCCACTCATTGTCGACGGGTGTTCCACGGGTTGACGCCGCATTGTTAACCAGAAAACGATACGACAGGGACGTTCGAGGGGAAGCGGTGTGCTACCGACGCATCGTCTTTGCGCGTGAACCACTCACGGACAGCGTCCGATTACCTACGAGTAGTTAGTGGTCCACTCGGCGTCCGCGCGTGGTCAACCCGCAGGCGAGGCGCTCCGGAGTTGATGTAGTGAGCCATTTACCCATAGTACTCCAAATACCAGGAGCTGGATGCGAGAAGCCCAAAATCGATCTAGGCTGATGATGACTCCAAATACGAACCGCTCGAGGCGAGACGGTGCTGGTCTGGTGGAGGGGTTGCATATAATATTATCGGAATCTAACATTTATGAAATAAGATACAGACTAATCTAAATTTTTTCATACTGCTTACCTAAGCAATTTTGTAGATGGTGTATTTATGCCATAATTTAAATTGTCATATTACTTTTAACATTATCTTTGCATGTTTACTACATAAAATGTAAATAATCCAAATTATTGTAATAATTTTTCAAATTATTAGAATCACATAAACATAATATGATATCATTGTTTTAATTTAGCTTTGGTTACAGTACAGTACACAATAAATGAAGCTTTTTTTTAGTTTCCTGATTATTTTTCCATTCTAGCCTAAACCACATTTAAATTACAAATGCATTAGTACTACGGTATTCGTCACCTATAAATATTTGTATGCGCAAATATTTCTAATTCGTATTGCACTGGGCGCTTCTAGCTATAATATTTACACAAAACTATGTAAGATTAAACATTTTCTTGCTACTGTCATAAGTAATCACAGGAACTGGCACGTTGATCTAGTGGTTAAACTGTCTTGGCCCCGCAGTGGTTAAACTGATCTAGTGGTTAGTGAACTTGATTGCTGAGATTGTGTAATGAACACGATCAGTAGTTCTGTGTCTGGGTATAACTTATATATAACTAGCGATCCTACTAATGTGGTGTCAGTGTGAAGTAATTAATTATAGGTACTATGCAATGTTTATAGGCCGATCCTGCTGGCCGCTGCCACACGGGACGGACGTACGGCTCGATCTTCTAAAATATGTTTTTTAATGATATGCTGTACATTGCAATTTTAATCTACATCAAATGCAACACGTTTCTAACCTATTCAATAACTTATTCAAGAAATACAATTCCGTAGTACATCATTTTGGTCTATCTAATTCGGTTTAGCCATGTTAGCGCCCTATAACATGTTTTTACGACAAATCTTTGAAATTCTCAGATTTTTTCTCCTATAACATCATCTCTGAACACCTGTATTGGAGAAAACCGCATTAAAATCCGTTGCCTACTTTAAATGATCTAAGCGTACAACACAAAAAACTGACTTTACTTTATACTATGTAAAGATAAACATGTATTAAGCAATACATACCTATGGCATGTCTGTCGGCAGTCTGGTTACCACAGCACAGGCTCTGCCTAATTTGGAATCGGACGAACATGTATGAGATGTGTCAAGTTATTATTTTTATAAACCCATTTACATTTGGAATAGTTATAATGTAAAATTTGTCCTACAATAATACTTTTATCGACAGGTATATTTTCACCCAGCCTATGACCCCAAGAGTCTACAAAATAACCTGGCGGTTACAAGACTACGGCGTCATTTAGCGTTCTCGTATCACAGGATCCCGAAAATAATTAGTATTAGTGACCTGCCAACTACTGTTCCCTCCACTGCAGAAGTTTTAATACTAGGATGGGGAGTCACGAAGGTAAATTAATTACTTACCTAGTAAGGGCGGAGCCGTGGACAAAATATATATTTGTTTATATGTAAAAACTAGCCTATGTGAAGGACATCGAGAATCAAAGTATCTCTTTGCCAAATTCCATTAACATCGGTTCAGCGGTTTAGCCGTAAAAGCGTAATAGACAGACAGAGCTACTTTTGCATTTAATATTGGTATAGATAATAATACTATCCTATACAAATATTGCAATGCCTACAGATGATATATAGACTAGACTTAGTCACACATCGATCAAATTGCATTATGATATTGCTGTCATGTCAATTGCAGGTAAACCATCTTATTATCAGATAAAAAATTATACGTATGAATACAGTGAATCAGTATCCAATCCTACTGTTTCCTATTTCAGCTGCACATTCATATTTTTTATTGGCTGTTTTGCTTACTTTCCTATTCTAAAAACTTTCAGTGTGACTCACGTACCTAAACATATTGAACTCAACAACCATCTATTTTAAGTGTAATTCGAAGGAAATGTTATTATGTGTATTTGTTACAGTTGTCACAGAAATTAAGTTACGAACCAATATTTTTACAAAAAAAATATTTGCCGGTCTACCCAAATACATTTTGCAAAGAAGTGTATGGAAAGTAAGTACTAGTAGCAATAATAATATCTGTTATTACTTTTATGTATGTGATCTGTTTACTCAAAGTCAGCTGGACCCAATGTAGAAATATTTTTTGTTTAAAGGGTATACTTTCTTATTAAGGCCTGTTGTAACCAGGTTAAAATCTTATAAAACACAATTCTAAAGAAATCGAGGACCTTCACATATAATGGGTGAACTTAGAGCGATTTGCGTATGTTTTAAAACCAGTGTATTTTCTCTTGACCACAAATGTCTACCGAAACTACCTGATACTAAATATTGTAGAAATCAATAAATAAGGAAAACAACCGAGCTTTTTCTATTCCATCAACGAATAAAGTGATTTTCCTTACTAGCTACTAGGAAGCAAAGACAATAGACAGAAAGTGATGTTACCTACACGGATGAATTTAGAGGTGTAGGTAAAAGCGCACTTCTACTCGCTCCCGTCCGCGAACGCGTTTGGCGTTGTGATTGGTGATCATTTTAGGGCGGGCCAATCGCAACGCCGAACGCGGTCACCGTGACGAGCGAGTCTATGTGAAATAAAATTATTTTTATATTTTTATGTAAGAACAGACGAGCAGACAGGTCACCACCATCGCCGCCCATGAACGTCTGCAACTCAGGAGTCACTAATGCGTTGCGGGCCTTTTAGGAAGGAGTACGCTTTTTACTTAAAGGTCGTATCGGTCGTAAAGGTCGTATCGGTCCGGAAATGCCGCAGACGATGACCCGTTGTACAGATTGGTTGTGCGGGGCCCTCAGATCAAGGTAATTCAGACTGGTTGTTGCCGGAAAGACCAAGCGCTCTAACGATATTCAAACCATGATAGGTTTATGGTAGCCTCATATGCAACCAAAAAAACCGGTCAGGTACGAGTCGAACTCGTGCGCCGAGGGTTCTGTACCTACCCTGAATTTACGTAGATTTTCGCGGAACTTTGTAAGTACCAAAATTTATCTCAATTTTTTTTTTTTTTTTTTGGAATTATTCCTATATTTGTGCTGTAAGACGTTTCTTTTTGCCATTTCGTGATTCTAGGTCAACGGGAACAACCATGTAGGGTTTCGACCCAAAACCTATAGGGTACTTCCGGTTGACCTAGAATTGTCAATTTTGGTTAAAAGCAAGGTTTTACAGCACAAGTAAAGAGAAAGTTCTGAAAAATGAAAAAAGTTGAAAATAGAGGTAAATTTTGGTACTTACAAGTTTTCGAGAAAATCGAAATTTGCCCATATCTTTTTATCGTGTTGACTCAGGAACTTGATTTTTATACACCTAATAGGGACCATAGACCTTAGTATCTGGTATAAATTTCAACTTGCTAGGTCTACCCTTTCCTGAGAAAATCGGTGGTGACATACGGCCAGACGGACAGACTGACAGACGGACAAGAAAGTGATCTTATAAGGGTTCCTTTTTTACCTTTTGAGGTACGGAACCCTAATAAAAAAGGACACCACTAGGAAATGACGTTCCAAAATCTTACTAATGCGAAAGTTATGATGGACGTTTGTTAGTCAATCACACCAGAACGGTTTTTTTATAGCATACGGCCCAAGTGTGTCTTTATTTCATATCGAATATCTCGCGGAGATTTCAGTGCGGACCAATCATATCGCCGAACGCGGTCACCGTGCCCATCGGATAGGCACACTTAGGCCTCTGATAATGAGTACCGCCGTCCATGCACAACAGTTGGTCACAAGTGTGTTGCCGCCTTTTGAGTACCCTCCTCCTACAATACAGCGAACTGGGTATGGGCTCCGGTCACCTCACTCACTCGATGAAATGTACCAAAGAATTGCTAAGTACTAGTTTTCTGTGAGGCCGTGGTATCACTCTGGTCGAGCCGACCCGTTTGTGCTGAAGCATGGCTCTCCAATGAATGAACTGATAACGGATTTGGATGAAATTTGTCTAGAGAAGGATTATAGTATAGAACTAGCTGGTGCCCGCAACTTCGTTCCGGTGGCATTTGAAAAGCGCTGCTAGTGGATTCGGTTCCCGCACAGGGCAAAATTTTATAGATATCTACCTGGTAGTAAAATATTATCAACAACAAGTAAAGCCGTTTTGAAGATTACCCGGAACAAATAGACAGACAGATGAAAAATTCTTAAACCGGTTTTTAGGCGTAGGTATCATCGGGGCAGGAGCTGAAATAACATGGTCCAGGTCCTCCCAGAGTTGGGCACCACCGCGACAGCCGGCCTCGGGCCGTTTTTAGTCGAATCACCACATACTCCTGGCTCCTGAGTCCCTAGGAGCAGGAGATCCGAAGGGATTCTCCACTCCAAGGCATAGGTATCATGCAAATAACCGTATGAGCATGAAAAAAAACCTATTATTTTGACATTACAAATAGACACTTCAATTTCATTTATTTGTATAGATAGGACTGAAAATTATTGACAAAATTGACACGAGCGAAGCCGCTGTTAAAAACTAGTAATACATTGTTTATTGCACATTGGTTTTTACATTAGTGATACTCTAACTGTACGTTGTATTAGGGGTTAAAGTATGAAATTTCCGATTTGTACTGAAACATTGAAACTGTTTTTTTTTCTATGATGTAACATATTTAATCAAAATATTTATCTATATATTGCTGTCATCTAAACGGAAGTTCATTTATGCCTTTACGATGGACCTCTGGGGATCTAGATTCGACAAACTGTGTGAAAGCATTTTGTACTGCCTCCGAGGAAGAATTTTTTTTATCACGTAGAAACTTTACCAAATCACAAAATGTTCTACTCACTGTACTTGGACCCCTATTGTTAAACACATTGTACGAGTCAGGCGTAAGACATTGTGATTTCAAGAACAAACAATTATACATAGTTACATAATATATACATAATCTAAAAAAATATTGATTCAATTCAAAGTGAATTTAAATTAAACAAGCAGATTTATCAAATTAGAGACTAGTTGGACTAGTGTCCAACCAACATTACATACTCCTGGCTCCCTATATTCGTGTTAACTAGTGTTAACACGAATATAGGGAGCCAAAGCTATTTCATTACTTATTTTCCCACATAACAACTTTGTTTCAGGAATTTCATTACTGAAAAAATGTTTTGCGCTGGAACTATCACTACAGGAGAAGGAGCGTGTGATGTGAGTGATGACATAGGAAAATCGATTTTGTTGGGATATTAAAGTATGACATAATAAAGTTAATGGGCGACTTTTGGCCAATTTCGTTGGACTTAGTGACGCTATAAAACGGCTGTTCGGTCAATGGCATTGTACGATGCACGAGTGAGGGCAGAGGCTCTAACAGCCCAGAATCATTAGGGGCCTTTGGCGCCCTCACGATTACCAGACCGTGTCGACGGAGGAGTCGCTGGCCGGAATTTGTGGGATTTCAAAGCGGAAGTGCGGCTGAGGGCTGACTTTCCATCGGGTAGTGGTAGTCAGCCCTCGCCATAAAAGGCTCGTTATAGAGGTTCCAATATGGCCTTCCAGTCTGGTAGCTCCAGGCTTTACCGTAGTGAAAAGTCTCAAATTATGGACAACTTAATTATAAGGACCGTGAAGTCAAGATAACAGATGTGGAGGTTTGTTAACAGACGTGTCACTTTCATGTTGCTTTTTTCTTCAGAAGGACGTTAATTTGGAACTAGATGGAACATCGTGTAATCACTTCGCCATTTACATACTGTTTTTATTTGTGCAGCATGACGCAGGAGGCCCCGCAATATTCGCTGGTCGTCTTGTAGGCATCATCTCATTTGGTCCATCAGTCTGCGGCTTCACGAATGCACCTACGGTTTTCACATTAATTGGAGCTTTTTCTGATTGGATCGAAACTGTTAATGAAAGTGTACGTATATACCTACGTAGTATGGTTAAACATTTTTTTTAAATAAGTAAAATCTACTTAGAGATGAAACTTGTATCTTGCCTATACGGCTTAAATTTACTCAGCACAATAGCAAATTTTAAATTAAGATCCTTTACTCAGACCGCATAACAAATAGAATTACCACATTTTTTAATCATAACTAATTGAATGGTTTTTAGAACATTTATAGTAACAGGACATAGTGACAAGTGATTAACAAAACTAATATTTCTGTATTAAAAATAAATAAATAGTTTCGCTGGTCTTCATAGACAACCAGCTTCAAAATAGGTCTTCCGATCAAAGGGTGGTGCATTTTTCACAATATTCTGAAAAACTTAGTTAACGGACTTCACGAATGGCGTAGTGGTTTAAGCGGTCGCCACGCCGCTCACTACTACCCTTAGTGTTCTGTCTGGATCCGATCTCCACTTGGGACGACAGTTTGTGTGATCAACAAATTATTGTTCTAAGTCTGGGTGTTCTTTGTGTCCGTTTGTAAAGTCCCTCACGATACAGGATATATTCCTAACGCGGTCGTTGTATTAAAAATAAAACGGTTTTTAGTGTATTAGCTAACTAGATAGGTTTATATAAACAGTAAAGTCGAGAGCAGAATAGCTTGCAAGAAGATGTAGTGGAAGAAATAGTAAGCTGGAGTGTATAATTGTTTAATCATTACCATTTGTGGAACACATTGTTGTCTCATGTAAGGATCGAACCCACAACACTAAGCGCAGTAGTCAGCGGCGAGCTGACTGCCTAAACCACTATGCTGTCCGTGCCGTCAGACCCTAATAACCGCTATTATTCTTTCTAATGTCTAAGATTTTAGATAGCATCCTTTAAAAATAAAACTTGTATCGCAATTATTATGGTGTGCGTTACCCCAGCAAAATAATGTCGAAAATGGTCATTTAAACTTTATAGATAATTAGTTGCTCCCCTTCTGTAATTGTTAGGCACATTTTTAAATTTGTTTCACTTAAACTTTTTTAGTTATTTCAAAAAAACATTTCCTGCTGGGGTAACGTTTGAAACGTTACCGCAGCCAGACATTTTCTTTTTTAATTGTAATATTGAAATAAATTTTAGCTAGAGAATTAGTTATCTGGACTAGGTAAATGTTACAACTTATTTGGTATTTGTATTTTCTTCGGCTGCGAAGTTATTCGAAATCCTGCTGGAGTAACGTTTGTGGGTTTGCTGGATCTCTGAAACGGGTAAGCGGATTGTAATCATCTTTTGTACATAACTTCTTAAGGATTAGTTTTAATTTGTTCGACAATAAAATCACAAAAATAATGGACCGTTTAAAAATTATTTAGGTAAGTATGAAAACACTTCAATACGTCCTAACACTTTAAATAAGACCTCTAAAGATTTACTTCAAACGTTATTCTATTGCTTGAAACTACCTTCAAATGTATACGAATTTTCGTAAGAATACTGTAAGTGACTAAAAAGTTATGATGAAATGTAGCTCTCCACGTTCACGATCACAATGTGTGCGGCCTTTTTTGGACACCGATAAACCTGTGAGTGGATATATAAACTGAATGTTATGCTAATAATTAGTTGTTTAGTTCAGTTGTCTACCTGTAGAATTTCAGAGTCGTACATATAATATTTTACGAGATAATTAAATAAAAGTCATTAGAAGGTGCAAGTCCGTGGTAATCCGACCATGTTTAGGTGGTTACAAAAAAGCGATCACCCAGTACATTGCGCTGTCTTTTAAAATGTTTAGTGTAATACACCTTACGATTTCGGTACAGTTGCGTACAGTGTTAAATACATTCAATATTTATTCATTATTATTACCTATTATTTATTTTGTTTTTTTCCCTAATTGATCTTAAGCACTAGTTTCTTTACTTAAAATTTATTTAGTCTTTTTTACTACCGGAGCTACAATCAACAGAAAATCTGCACTGGTCCGCTAAAATTATAAATATGTAGATACATGTATAAACGATTCACCTGACTGCAATAAAACGAAAATTTAAACCAATAAGAAATCGTTTCATTTCTTTGATTTTTTTTTTGTAAAGAAATAACACTAAAGTAATTGTATTTTATTTTGGGGTGTATAGAGCTTAGACTTGAATGCATCAAAATATTTAAAGCAACAAGTCATCTACAATAAGTAAAAATAGACCGAATAGTAGAAGAATACAGTTGTAAATTAGAATGCATCAACATTGCATCGCCCAACAGTCGTATACCTCGTAAGAGTAGGTAATATTGTTCTGTGGTCTATACCGAGAACCGAGAATTATCTATACCTATGTATCTACCGTTAAGCGTTGAGCTCGTGACTGTTGATTTCTGTTAAAAATGAACAGTTGTTGAATGATATTTTGATACAATAACGGTAATTTAATTAATCGAGTGAAAGTGATACATTTTTATAGATAAAATTATTGGTCAGATAATATTTGTCAATCAAGAATCGCTGATAATACATCCTTCGCTAGAACGCGGGAGGGGAGGGGCGAAAGGATACTTCATTGTTTGCAATTTGCATCTAGTGCACTAAACTTGACCCTTAGGCAGATAATATACGTGTTGTAAAGTACGTGTGCGCTTCCGCTTTCTATTTTTGCAAATATGTATCGTATTTTTGAGAGTTCTTCAATATGTGTGTACCTAATTACTAATAATCGGCATTAATGCTAATTCGATTCAATTTAAGTAATTGTCAATTCTTGTCTTAGGATATTAATTACTAATGCTAATATTGAAATTTCGTTCAGGGTGAACAAATTAAAAACGATCATAACTTGTAGGTAGGTATATCACTTATTACTAATTTTACATAAATAATTTATTTTATTATAATTTAACTCACCGCGATTTTGTGATCAAATATTTTATTTTCTCCAAAATTATTACAGAAATATTGCAATACAGAGTTTGTTCGCGATATGCTAGCCTAAGTCGATTCATCACTTAAAAAAATCCCCATCTATTCACAAAATACCTATTTACAACGCATACGTCACACTCTTCAAAACTTAAATTACCTATACCTACCCTAAAATTAAACTTCAATTAACAAATTCTACGCAGGTACCAATTCTATGAACAACTATAAACAATTCACCTAAACATTACGAGAAAACAAAAGCATTCAAAACAATACCTAATCTCCCGGCTGATTACTAATTATGCAATAAACAATCCTAAATAAAAATTATTTAAAAAACATGTAGTTTTTTGTAACACTTATGTACATATCCGTAGTAAACTTGCAAATAATATCCTACGTATTTTAAAAGCCAGCAGAATGTACTGGGTGATCGCTTTTTTGTAACCACCTAAACATGGTCGGGTTACCACGGTCTTGCACCTTCAAATGACTTTTATTTAATTATCTCGTAAATTATTATATGTACTACGCTGAAATTTTACAGGTAGACAACTGAACTAAACAACTAATTATTGGCATAGCATTCAGTTTATATATCCACACACAGGTTTATCGGTGGCCAAAAAAGGCCGCACACATTGTGATCGTGAACGTGGAGAGCTACATTTCATCATAACTTTTTAGTCACTAACAGTATTCTTACGAAAATTCGTATACATTTGAAGGTAGTTACAAGCAATAGAATAACGTTTGAAGTAAGTCTTTAGAGGTCTTATTTAAAGTGTTAGGACGTATTGAAGTGTTTTCATACTTACCTAAATAATTTTTAAACGGTCCATTATTTTTGTGATTTTATTGTCGAACAAATTTATTTATTTATTTTTTTATTTATTTATTTTCTTTAAAAACAACTATTTTTACAGGCTTAGCCCAATGCAATAGTGTTATACCATCTACTTATTTATTATAAGAAATAATTCTTAATGCTGTTATTGTGAATTCACTCAGTGAGCAATAAAAAAAATCTACTTCGTCCGCAATTATATTCAGAGTACGTAGTGCGCGCGTCAGCGGTGCTTCTCTCTGCAGGTTGGTGCGCCCGCACGGGACAGCCAGCAGCGGCGGCCGGCGGCGCCGCCACACGTATCTGTCCGGAACACATATGCTGACTCGTCCTAACAAGTCTTCATTATGTATCCCACCCCTAAGTACCCTAAACAGGTACGAGACGAGTGTGAGTTCCCTTCTGACCCTCAGTTCATTGTATCCCACCATACCCAGAATAAATAACGTGGGATACATTAATGGATACAATGGGTATACTCCATAGTATCTGAAGTACAAAAACCTAACAAATTTATTTTGAACTCGCTCCAACATGAGGCTATATTTAGCTTCATGTGGGGCCCAGATGACTGCGTTACTCTCTAGCTGACTTCTTACCAACGCGTTATACAATGCTATAATTGTATTTAGGTTTCTAAAGTCCTTTACTGTTCGTAAAACAAAACCCAAATTCCTATAAGCTTTTTTACAGCATTTCACTATGTGATCACGAAATCTTAGCTCAGTGTTAACACAAACCCCTAAATCCCTAACCTCTGTGACCCTTACCATCTGTGTCCCGTCTAAATTATAATTATACGAGATGGGTTCGCGTAAGCGTGAGAAGGTGATAGCCACGCACTTCGAGGTATTAAACTGCAAGAGATTGTCTCTACTCCAGGTTACCACCCTATCTATGTCTGTTTGAAGCTTCTTGCAGTCCTCCAAGTTGTTAATAGGGAGGGAGCGCTTGAGGTCGTCTGCGAACAGTAAGCATTTCGCATCCTGGACTACTCTGGGTAGATCATTAATCATTATAATGAATTCTAGAGGCCCAAGGTTGCTACCTTGACTTACGCCGGACCTGGTGAAATATGGCTCCGATACATGCCCCCCGTATTCCACGTACTGCTGCCTACCTTGCATGTAGCTGGCAAAAAAATTAAGCAAGTGGGGGGTGAAACCGATGCTAGCTAGCTTCTTCAGTAGCACGTCATTATTGACCAGGTCAAAGGCTTTCCGGTAGTCGAAGTATGCAGCGTCAACTTGACCTCCTCGGTCCACCACCGGGACCACCTCTGTTGTGTAAGCGAGCAGGTTGCTAGTAGTGCTCCTTTGGGGTCGAAATCCATGCTGAGCATCCGCAAGCTGCGGGCTTACTTGTAACAGAATACTATTGTGGATGGCGGACTCGAAAATTTTCGCTGGGGTCGACAGGACTGCAACAGGCCTGTATTCATCAACCCTTGAACCTGATCCACCTTTCGGCACTGGTATGACGCGAGTTAACTTCCACCTGTCTGGGAACATCATTGCACTTAAGCATTTATTATAAATATGAAGCAAAGGCCCAGCCAACACTGACCGACAATCCCTAAAGATGTAAGGCGGGATGCCATCAGGTCCTACTGACCGCTTTGGTTTCAGTCTTTGCATCGCGCGTCCTACATCCGGTAACTGTAGTCGGTCGAGATATATTCTTGCTCCGGCATTCTCGCTACCCGCTTCCGCCATCGCCGCTTGCACATTAAGCTTCGGTATCTCGGTGCTATATACGGAATGGAAGTAATCAGCAAATTCTCTAACGCACTCCTCACCAGCCAGTACAACCCCGTCTTTTAAAATCGTTTGTGTATTCCTTGAGCTTCTCTTTGATTTAATGTAGTTCCAGAAGGATTTAGGATCCTCCTGGAATTCTTTTTGAATTCGGTCTTCGTATTCTTGTTTAGCCATTCGCATCTTATGTTTTATCATAGCCCTACACTGAGCGAAGGCCTCGTAATCACTATTTTGTCTGCTCGATTTGTATCGCTTATGAAGTACCGCTTTCAATTTTATGTCGCGAATTATTTCAACAGTGTACCACTCAGGGTAAGTGTACCTCGAGCTTACACGACTTCGCTTTTTTCTAGGAACGCAGTCATCGATAATGGAATTTATCCTATCATAAAAAAAATTTAAACTCATTTCTAAATTTAAAACATATATCGGAGACCAGTCAATGGCCCCTATTTGTGAATACAAGGACTGGAAATCGGCTTTATTAAAATTCCATCTTGGTAATGCCTCGTGTATGTACTTACCAGTTGTATACCGGTAGTGTGGCGGCGTCCCCGAACCGACGCCGGTACGGCCGCCGCCGGACGGGCGAACCATAACCTCGAGCGGCGGATGTTGCACATCCACCGGTACCAGTGGTTCCTCTGCCGCGCGCACCACTACACTCTCACATTCCGCGAAGGTGCTTAGCACTAGGTCCAGATATCGACCAACGCAATTACCTATACTATTGCACTGAGTGAATCCACAATACGTCACAAAGTATTCATAGTAGCTGTTTACGTACGCAGGACAAGAATATAAATTAAAGTCACCGACTACAATTACTTCACTATAACTGTCACAATACTGCTCAATCAATCTAAATAACAACAAGTATTCATTTTCGCTACTATTCGGTGGGATGTACACCACACATAACAAAAATAAAAACCTATTATGACGGTATACACCAGCACAAACTAGTTCAAATACATGATTGTCAATGTTTACGTCATAGATCGTCTTTACTCGTCGTAGCTCGAAACGCGGTGTGGCCACGAGACACGCGCCTCCCTGCTTTCGCCCATCTGCCCGGTCACAACGTAGGATTTTGTAGCCCGGAGGAATAAGTTCTGAGTCGCTTATGGATTCGTTGCAGCCTGTTTCGGTGATAGCAAATAAGTCTGCATTTGATGAAATAATACCCAAATAAAAGTCTTCTAATTTTGTGCGGAGCCCTCTTACATTCTGATATATTATTTCAATATCTCTTTTGGATTGGTGATTGTTTATCATGTGATCTACGAAACCACACCCATTCACAAAATTCGATATTTAGAGGCCATTGCTCAGGCTGACACAATACTTCATATTCACTTTCAGGGACCCCTATAATAAATGAGGCGTAATCTCTTTCAGTTTTATGTCTTATTTTTTCCACAGTAATCGAAATATCTTTTCCATATATGTTTTTTACATAATTTTCCAAAGCTTCTTTCGATGTATCCTTCTGTAACCGCCAAACATGTAAATATTTTTTCCGTTCTGTCCCTCTAATTTCAATTGTACTTGTACTTCCGCCTTTTCGCACTTCTCTGTTAGGAAACCGGGGTTTTTTTTTGCTAACAGTAGTCCAATTGTCTTCCTTTGCAAGTTCTTGTTTCCCTGTAATATTACTATCAGTAGCTTGTTTTGCTTTGATGATTTTATCTTGCGTTTGTTCCGGATTGGCAGTTCCATCAGTCGCTTTCGTGGCCACACATTCCTTCACTACTACTACATCGGTAGTTTTTACCGGTTTATGCATCGAATCTTGTTTCAATGCGTTCGCAAATGATAATGTGGGCTCCTTAGAAAAATTACAGTCGCTTCCATTCTTATTTTCCGTTTGACTTTTCTTCCTTAGTAGCGCCTCGAGTTGTTCGTTCCTTTTTGTAAGCAACTTAATTTTTTTCTCCAACAATTCCACTTTTTCTGTCTTTTCTTGAACTACCCTCATTGTTTTATTTATTTCACGTAGCTCGTTTTCAGCTTTATCAAATTTACTTTGTAGCTTTGTATATTCCTTCTTTTGGTCATCAAATCTTGATATCATTTCCATACGAAATTTACGCATCTCTTCGAATAGTTGATACTCATTCTCATTCATAATACTTTCCTTGGATTTAACTCGGCTGCCGCGTTCCTTATTTACAAAGTTGCTTGGTGTAAAAGTTTTATTCGTGGAAACAGTGCTTCTAATTGGCGTCTCCGTATTATCACGTTTTGGAATAGCGTTGATACATTCTGGACACATCCATTGACTCTTGTATTCTTCAGTAAAGGCTTCAAACTTTTCATATGTCAATGCCAGACACTTCAGATGATATAATTTATGACATGTTTCTTGCGAACATTCCATAAACGATACATCCTTAATCTCGGCATCACAGCCGGCACATTTGGTACCCATTTAGGAATTAAAATAAATTCAGATAACAATTAAATTTTGAAAAACTAACAGTGTGACAAATAACACGTCCGTTCACTTTTGACACTTTAAAACTAATCCTTAAGAAGTTATGTACAAAAGATGGTTACAATCCGCTTACCCGTTTCAGAGATCCAGCAAACCCACAAACGTTACTCCAGCAGGATTTCGAATAACTTCGCAGCCGAAGAAAATACAAATACCAAATAAGTTGTAACATTTACCTAGTCCAGATAACTAATTCTCTAGCTAAAATTTATTTCAATATTACAATTAAAAAAGAAAATGTCTGGCTGCGGTAACGTTTCAAACGTTACCCCAGCAGGAAATGTTTTTTTGAAATAACTAAAAAAGTTTAAGTGAAACAAATTTAAAAATGTGCCTAACAATTACAGAAAGGGAGCAACTAATTATCTATAAAGTTTAAATGACCATTTTCGACATTATTTTGCTGGGGTAACGCACACATTATTATGTGGTTTTTGTTATAAAAAAAAAAAACAAACCTGAATGGATGCTGTTGGTCACATCTAAAATTTTGAATTAAAAGTATTAAAATAAATATTAATATCTTTTTATCATTTATACTTGTATGACATCATGGCGAATCAGATTTTAGTTTCGAGTATATACATAAGTATGTCACTAAAATGTGATTCGCATGAAATTTTATTTATTTAATTGTAAAATGGCAGTTTTCACTTGTTACCTCATCGAAAAACATGTCGTTAGTTCTACGACATATTCTTTTTAGGCTTAGCCTCTCATCTCTGCTTTCTTTATGCAGTACCAGCTGACCAGCGCAACTTCTTATGTGTATCTCGAAAGAAATAAATTTGAACCCTTATTGCAACATTTTTTATTGATGCTCGGCTAATATTAGTCGTAGCCTATAGCCTTCCACGATAAATGGCCTATCCCACACTAAAATATTTTTTTCAATTAGAACCAGTAGTTCCTGAGATTAGCGAGTTCAATTAAAGAAATAAACAAATTCTTCGGCTTTATAATATTAGTATAGATTGAAGATTAATTGATACTAGAGGACTCGTCCTTGGAAATTCATACAAACGAATGGAACCTTTTGTCGAACTCTTTCAGCCTTAACGATTCCCGTAGATATTTCTTCATTAATATGTTATATGGATCTAAGAGCGTGATTCGTTAAAAATATACTTCTTAAAGACCATTGTAGAATAAAATAAGCTCTGGTCACCACAAAAATATGATAATGTTCACATTAAATTAAATTGAAAGCCATTTTCGTGCATAGTTATTTCTAAGTTAACTATTTTCTTGTAATTTTCTCTATTTACAGATGCCTAACTACTATCGAGCGAAACGACCCACCACTAGCTCAACAAAATCTATAATAGATGGCTATTTCGCCACCTGGCAAGATTCAAAGTTGAAAAATGCCGAAAAGATAAGAGCGGAAACTAAAATGGAACCATTAGGGATACCCACTGAACACACTCCTGAGATTCCATTGTCAGAAACGTTTGAAAATGAAACTCCAGCACCTATAGAAACTACAGAACCGACAGATACTCCTACAGATACGACAGAACCTAATGAAAATATTGAATCCCCTGAAGTAACCGAGCCTACAACACCTGAGATGGCTACCACTGAAACTTCACCAATGCCTCCTGGCGCGTTAAGGATGGAAGATTCTGATGGAGGATGGAGTATTGAAAATCGTAAATAAATTCATGCAGTTTTTTTTGTGTTTTATTAAAATGAGCTAATGGTGCATAGAACAGACAGAGAAAAGAGAGATATTAAACAGTCAATCAGATTGCTATTACGGCACCAATTGGAAGCGATACAATACAACCGCACCATGCGAAAGGTACGAATTTAATTTAACCCAACAGTATTAAGTAGATCGCAGTCATTTGGAGTACTAAGAATGAGATTTTTTTTTTTAGTTAACGCATTCTAATAACATACGTACCGTAACGTTGATAGAACTAAAAACAAATTGTGATCTGACAGTGGTTTATTAAATGTTATGTACTTTTCACCGAGTAAGTGACGTTACCGGAGTCCAAATCACCCCACCCGTGATTTTAGAGGAGGAGAACTCAAACTGTAGCAACGTTCACTCCGTGACTCATGAGTTGCAGGTGTCTATGGGCGGCGATAGTCAATGGGAAAAGTTTGGGCTGGTAAGTTGAGTTTGGGTTTGTTTCAAGTTTTCCTTCTCTATGCAGAGCTGCTGTCCTGCGTAGTTTCTGTTTGTGTCTTAGTGCCGTGTGGTGACGAATTAAAAATACGAAGAGTCACCCCACCCCTTTTATCCCGTGGGTGTCCTAAGACCCCGACGAAGGGAGTCTTTATCATCATCAACATCCTTTAGTAATCCACTGGCTGGACATAGGCCTCTCCTTAGAAAGGAAGTTTTGGCCTACTACACCACGCTGGCCAGACGGGTTGGTATAGGTTTGTTTCAAGTTTCCGGGCAAAGATGAGGTGCCTGGGTCTGGTCCTAGACGGTAGGTGGCTCTTCGACGAGCACTTCCGACAGCTTGGTCCGAAGCTGGTGGACACTGCCTCCGCCCTAGGGCGACTTTTGCCCAATTTGGGCGGGGCCAGTGTTCCCACGAGGCAGCTGTACGCGGGGGTTGTCCGGTCCATGGCGCTTTATGGTGCACCGGTGTGGGTGGCGGCTCTGACCGCCCCGAATAGGGCGCGCCTCTGGCGCCCCCAGAGGATATTGGCGGTCAGAGCTATACGCGGATACCGCACGGTGTCCACCGGGGCGGCTTGCGCCTTGGCCGGAACACCCCTGTGGGATTTGGAGGCGGAAGTGCTCGCCGAAGTTTATCGGCGACTGGCTGACTTCCGGGCGGAGAGCGGATTTCGCCCTCCGCCCGAGGAGGTGCGCGAGTGGCGCGAAGCCGCTCGCCGAGCCACCATGGTCAGATGGTCGTTCCGGCTGGAGACTCCACGCGCTGGCTTCGCCGCCGTGGAGGCTCTCCAGCCGGTCATCGCCGAGTGGGCAGGGCGGCAGCACGGGACCCTTTCCTTCCGGCTGACGCAGGTGCTTTCCGGGCACGGTTGCTTCGGAAAGTACCTGCACTCGGTCGCTAGGAGGGAACTGAGTCCCGCCTGCCACCACTGCGACTGCAGTGAGGACTCGGCCCAGCACACGCTGGCGGTCTGCCCCGCATGGGCGACGCAGCGCCGGGCCCTCACTGCAGTCATCGGAGCAGATCTCTCGCTACCGGCCGTAATTCGCTCCATAGCCGGTAGCGACAGTTGTTTTACCGCGGTCGCAACCTTCTGCGAAGAGGTAATCTCGCAGAAGAAGGCCCGGGAGGACGACCTCCACTCGGACCTGATCCGATCCTGACCACTCAGGGCGGCATGAGGCGCGCTTACCTGCGCCTCATGCCGCCCTGAGTGTGGCCGCGGGTGGACGGGGTGGGTTCCCCTCCACCCGCATTGGTTTGGCCAGCCGCGAGGGGGCGGCGTCCGCGTGTGCCGGACGTCGCCTAAAGAGAGGAAAATTTTGAGACGGGGCCCGCAGCCGGGCGGCCGGCGCTAGGAGGGGTCCAGAAGGCGATAACTACCCGGACCCCTCCTAAACTGGAAGCGCAAAGAGGGCACACCGTGTGGTTTTAGTCGGTTCGAGTCCGACACACCCCCCGCCGCAAACCCCGGCGGGGTGACGGTCCGAGGGGATTTCCACACGTTAAAAAAAAAAAAAGAAAAAAAAAGGTTTGTTTCAAGTTTTTATTCTCTTTGCAGTGTTTTTTTCCCCTTCGTAGTTTGCTCCCTTAGTCCCTGCCTCCCCTTAGTCTGCAAAAAATACATATATATTAAGATATTGAAGCTAAACTTACGAATATTTAATTTAACACGTCCCCTTTAATGTTCTATATCAAAAACTGGTAAACAAGCATTAAATATTGCCGTTTATACTTACTTATATGCTTGTTCTTAAATACACGACCTGCTGAAGCTAGGATGTCCACCAACAGTCAACATCATACTTAGGTGTAACTTATTAAGTTTCGGGCATGGCACCTACTTTATACAAAACAGAACTTGACCTAGTACCTAAAAAACCTTCATGATGCACATTGCTTTTTAAATATATGTATTTTTTATTGCAGGATGCGTTCGTACTGAGTACATACTACATGTAAAACATTTGGAAGTACCAAATGTTTTACATGTACTGCGGTGTACATTGTTGATTATTTAATTATTTTCAACTTTAATTTGATCAACCCGTTAGTTTATATAAGTTGGTAAGATTTTAATTTGTCTAACAATTTGCTGCTTATTAATCATCATTTATTTACCTAGTAATAATCTAATTATAAATAAATGTTAAGATTGTTTATGTACGCTTCAAAAACTCAAAAAGTTCTGCACGATATACGCCTGCTTCAAAGGTTGTTTTTATTTATTTTTCATGTTCGTTTGGTTTTCATTTCTCATCAATGTGACCACAATATGTCACAAAGAAGCTATAAGTCTGAGCGCATAACTTATCGTTTGTGTTGTTGTGTAAAATAAATAGTTTGTCCAGACGACTGGATGGCATGGTAGTTTGTGTAACGGTCTGCTATTCCAAAGGTCGCGGGTTCGATTCCCGCTCAAGTCAAACATTTGTGTGCATGAACGTTTAATGTTTGATTTGGTCTGGGTGTTTCTATGTATAATATGTATATATTTACAAAAAAAAAGTATATTTGTATTTATATCAGTTTTTACCTGACCGAATGACTGACTGAATTTTCGAGTGTATGTACGCATTACTTTGACACGTTCTTTAGCCTAAACGGCATGATAAATTTTGACCTTTGAGGTGTCGTTAGATTTCACCACTGCGATGGCCCTACCGTGGACACGGCTCTCTAGAAGCTGGCAGAATGCCCCGCGTGGGTGGAGCAGAGGCGTTGCTCGTGGCGGCCATCGGGTAGGAGTTTACTCGCTCGATAACATGATTGCGGCCATGGTGTGGAGCGAGAGTGCGTGGAACTCGAGCAAGTTATGCTTGCGAAGGAGATGGCGGAGCGGGACCGGGAGAAGATTAGAACCCTCCCGGCCCGCCTGGCCCGGGCACGGGACAGGTACCGCAGACGACTCAGGCGTCGGAGGTCGCAGAACGACCTCTGTCCTCCATAAGCGCAGGCCTGGGGGTAACAGGTGAGGCCATCTGTCACCCTAGCAGAAGCAGGCCGGGGTAGAGGAGAGATGACAAAGGGAACAGGAGAGGATGGTATAGGGCCCGAGGGCACCATTATAAGAGGAATGGTTACTGGTTGGGATTCATGAATGATTGTTCTAATTTGATACTACTCGTTTGTTACCTTGTGACCTAAATTAATAAAAATATTTTTTGTTGATAATATTCAATAATTATATAAAACTGACTTTTGGCCTTGATATTTAAAAAATAAAAACTAGATTTCTACAAAATAGATCTACACTCAGTTCCAAGACTAATTTGTTTGAGCTATTTTAGCGAGTTTCAATATTAAGTGTTCTAGCCATATTTGTCCTATTACCAGTGTACCAGTGACATTTAAAATTTTCGTTAATTTAAAAATATTTTTTTGAAATGTACATCGAATTATAAAACAAGATTTATGACGAAAACTTATCACTTATTCTGTATTGGCCTGTTAATCAGGGACCGTGATTCCACATCGATCTTCAATTAATTCTACTACTCCAAAACTGCTAAATGGTTTTTGTGTGCTACCGGATAATTCGCTTGCTAATTAGCAACTAGTACTGAATTCAGTACAGTGAACAGTGTCATAGCTATACTAGCAGAGTGCAGCCCTATTTTTCCGTATCCCAAGATGTTATGTCGGAATCGAACCGACTAAAAACCGCACGCCGCCGCCGTCTCGGGTACCAGAAGCTGAGGAACCAGGTGTAACCAAGAATGTAAATACCTGGTAACCTGACGGACCCTTGGGCATCTACGGCTTACAGATGGGCCGGTCTAGTGTGAGGACCACGGTGTCACCTTCCTTCTAAGGGGACCGCGTGCTCCAGAGCACGAAGCACCGCCACCCCGGCCTGCTTGTGATAGGTTGACCTCGATGGACGACCTAGATGGCCTCGCCTGTCACCCCCAGTATTTTACTGAACCTATGTAGCTTCATTACAGTTTCATATAACATTTTTAGTTGTTTTGATGTCTAAAATACTAGGTGTATTATTTATATCAAGAGTTTTGCATAATGATAAGGATTTAAATATTTAAGGTTTTTTATAAGAAATTAATTAAATGACTGTTACGTTACTTTCTAATTGGGTTGCGGACAATGAACCAGAATATAAGGAAAATAACGAAAGATCACTTTTCTAAATCTCTTAAAAAAGGGATATTGTAAAACATTACTTTTTATATAGTACTACAAGTAATTACAATTCACCTACTTGTCTGTTATATTTATATTTGAGCTTATGCCTTATTCGCCTGCGTGTATGTCGGTCATCGCGGTAAAAAGTAGCCTATGTGACTTGTTGATAATGTAGCTTCCCATTAAATAAAATAAATAAATAAAAGTGGTTTAGGCGTGAAAGCGTAATAAACAAAGAGACTCACTTTCACATTTGTAATTTAAGTATGGGTTATCTTTTACATTTGTTACGTTGTTTGTCACATATCACGTTTAAAGCGCATTTATTAAACTTAATTTTATTACCTACAAAACTATATAAAATTTAGTT